ACACATGCACATGTGCACACATATGCATGCACACACGCACACACACGCATGCATGCACACACGCGCACACGTGTGCACACACGTGCATGCACACATTCAAGCTCACATACGCACACACAGGTAAAACCAGTAAAATAGATTTTAACAACGTCAATTTCCTGCTTTTGATATTGTATTAGAGTTATGTAAGATGTAGCCACTGGGGAGAAACTGGGTGAAGGGTACAGGGGAATGCTACACTATTTTCGCAACATCCCCTGAATTTATTTATTATTTATTTCAAAATGAAAAGTTATTTATTTATATTATTTTATTATATTTATTATTTATTTCAAAATGAAAAGTTAAAAATAAAAAAATAGAAAATTGTAGAGAGGGAGATGGAGATGGAGAGCAGAATAGCAATGGTTACTCTATTCAATAGTATTGGGCTCGGTGGGCATGATTATGAAGGGTAGCATGAGGGGAATCTTTGGGGGAATGGAACAGTTCTGAATCTTGATGGTGGTGGTGATTATAGGGCTACGCCCATGTGATAAAAATTGCATAGGGCTACCCACACACACGCACACACACATGCATGGACACGCAGACAGGTGGGTGCTTTAGTTTGGACGGATAACGGAAAGCCAGGTAAGGAGAAAAGTGGGATGTTGCTAAAATGCATTACCTGGGCCTAGAAGCAGGTTAGGGGACCAGGGTGGGTGTATTGGGTCAGAATGTGTGACTACTGGAAGCTGAGGTCTCAGACTCTGCCAGGTGCCCATACCCACCCTAACAAACTCTAGCTGAGAAGTTAAAAGAAAAAAGGACCGGGACAGTCTCATGCTTTGGGGAACAAGAAGGAAAAAAAGAGTCAACTCAATCCCATTGAACATTGAGCAACAACAACAAAACATCAAACAGCAGTCCTTAAAGCAGACCTTCTCTCACCTGCTTTACTTGGCTACCCTTCCCCACCCAATCCCCAAACTCCCAGAACTTGCCCTTCCTTTAATAAAGAGGAGACCACACGGTAGACAGACATAGTTACCATGGTTACGGCCACACTAGTGAGTCAGATTTGTTTTCAAATCCCCTCTCTGCCCCTCACCAGCCAAGTGACCGTGGACATGTTACCTGTCCATACCTCAGTTTCTTCCACTGTAATACAATGGGCATAATGGGCCAGGCGTGGTGGCTCACGCCTGTAATCCCAGCACTTTGGGAGGCCAAGGCGGGCAGATCACTTGAGGTCAGGAATTCGAGACCAGCCTGGCCAAGACGGTGAAATTCCGTCTCTACTAAAAATACAAAAATTAGCCAGGCTTGGTGGCATGCACTTGTAATCCCGGCTACTCAGGAGGCTGAGGCAGGGGAATCACTTGAACCATAAATAAATTTCAGGGGATGTGCGATAATAGTGAGCGTCCCCTGTACCCTTCACCCAGTTTTCTCCCCAGTGGCCACATCTTACATAACTCTAATCACAATATCAAAAGCCAGGAAATTGAACGTTTTTAAAATCCATTTTTACTGGTTTACCCTGTGTGGTTGGCTGTATGTGAGCTGAATGTGTGCATGCAGGCGTTGTGTGCACACGTGTGCCGTGTGTTTGGCATGCATGCGTGTGTGTGCGTTGGTGTGCATGCATATGTGTCGCACATGTGGCATGTGTGCTGGTGGTGTGTATGCATGTGTGCACGTATGTGTGAGTCTTTGCCCACGTTGTGCGTGCATGTGCACGTAGGTGTCCATGCATTGTGTTGTGGGCGGTGTGTGTGGTTAGCCCCCTATGCAATTTTTATCACATGGGCGTTTAGCCCTATAAATCACCACCACCATCAAGATTCAGACTGTTTCCCATTCCCCCAAAGATTCCCTCCATGCTACCCTTCATAATCATGCCCAGCCGAGCCCAATACTATTGGAATAGAGTAAACCATTGCTATTCTGCTCTCCAATCTCCATTCCCCTCTTCCACAATTTTATTTTGAGTTTATGTTATTTCTAAAGGAAAGTCAACATGTCACCTTTGGATCTGGCTTCTTTTTCCACTGCAGTGTTAATGCTCTGGAGATGTGTTCTTTTTTAACAGTCATTGTAACCCTTCCTAATTTCCCTCCAAAATATCATATGCCCCTCATCGCCTTTTTTTTTTTTTTTTTTTTGAGACGAAGTCTCCACTTCTGTCACCCAGCCTTGGAGTGCAGTGGCCCATCTCAGCTCACTGCAAGCTCCGCCTTTGTCGAGTTCACGCCATTCCTCCTGCCTCAGTCCTTCCCGAGTAGCTGGGACACTACCAGGCGCCCGCCACCATCGCTCCGGCTACGTTTTTGGTATTTTTTAGTAGAGACGGGGTTTCACCGTGTTAGCCAGGATGGGTACTCGATCTGTGAGCTTGGATTCCGCCGCGTCTCGGCCTCCCAAAGTGCTGGGATTACAGGCTTGAGCCACCGCACCCGGCCCTTTTTTTTTTTTTGGTTTGGAGGACAGTCTCTCTCTGTAGCCCAGGCTGGG